GTCTGCTGCTGCCTTCGACAACTCTCCTATCGGCCGATCCGACTGCTGCTCCCCTGTCGAGTGTACCCCTGTCGTTGCCTCCTGTTCGACCGGCTCCCCTGTCTGGTGCTCCCCTGTCGTGGACGGCTTCCCATCCTGGTCGACGAGCTTGGCGCCTTGTCGACCGCCGGCGATGCCATGGGCCGGCGCCACAGGCGACGCCTCAAGGCTCCCCTCATCGACGGTGGGCGACACAGGTGCCGACCCAGGCCGATCTGCGACGGGGAACGGAGGAGCAAAGACAGGGGAAGGAGAAAGAGCCTCCACAACAGCCTCATCACCGGGTCCGTCGACTTCAGCGAGCAACGGAACCGGCGCTGTAGATGTATCCGTTGGCGGGTGCGCCTGCGTCCGCTGCGACGCCGGCCCATACTTCGCCTTCCACACCTCCAGCGACAGCGTCTCGTAGAAGATCACCTCGACCGACGTGACCACCTTGTTGTCGGTCAGGTCGAGCACTTCCCAGCCCTTGCTTGCTGGCGACACACCCAGGTGAAGTCCCCAGCGAGCCTTCGGCGCCAGCTTCCCACCACGCTGCTGCTCGGGAATCATGAACTGCACCATGCAGCCCCACACCCGCGCCAGCGTAAGGTCGGGCTTCTGCCCGGTCAGCAGCTGGTACGGAGTCGTCCCCGGCGGCGTCGTTGACCGCTCCAAGCACTTGCGCACCCAGACAGCTTGTCGTAGAGCAAGGTGCCACCGATGGTGCTGCACGCCCATGTGCAGCAACATCGTCCGCACGGACTCGACGGCCGTGCGCATCTCCCGCTCAGCCATGCCATTTTGCTGCGGAGTGTAGGGGCAAGTCAGGTCGTGGACGATGCCTTTCCCGTCGACGAAGTCGGTGAACGCCTTCCCGAGGAACTCCCCTCCTCGATCGGAGCGAAGCGACAGCACCGACTTCTTCGTCTGCCGTTCCACCAGCACTAGCCACCGCTGGAACTCCCGCAGCACATCGTTCTTCTTGGCGACCGGCATTGACCATACAAATCGAGTATGGCGATCCTTTAACAGCAGGAAGTACAAGCTGCCATCCTTGGCAGCCACTCGAAATGGCCCGCACAAGTCAATGTGCACGACAGCCAGCGCCTCCGCTGCATCCGAGCCCGTGGCAGGGAAGATGTGCCGCGCCAGCTTTCCTCCGACGCACGAGACACATGGCGGGTCTGCTCCGGTTGACAGCGTGATGTCGAGCCCAGTAGCAACATCATGCTTCGCCGAGCTCTTGATCGTGTCGACGCTGACGTGGGCAAGCCGCGCATGCATCCTATCGGGGGTCGTCTTCGTCGCCGAGACGATCGTCCGCAGAGCCACCACCTCGGTCGACTGCGACTGCGTCGAGCAGGGGCGAAGGTCGGTGCAGAGGACTCGTCCGGTGTAGCGCGCTCGACCGAGCACCTCTCCAGTCGCGGCGACGAGCAACATCTCATCGCCATCGCCCCGTAGTAGCACGCCGCTCTCCTTCAGCTGGCCAGCAGACAACAGGTTTGCCTGTACGCCCGAAACGTAGAGTACGTCGAGGATGAGAACCCGCCTCCCGGCCTCCCCTTGTAGAGCGACGGTTCCGCGACCCTCGACAGGCTGCAATGCCCCGTTGAACCCACGCACGTGCTTCACCCCATCGCTCGGACCCATGTCAACGAAGACCGATTTCGTCCCCATCTGGTGGTGGGAGCACCCGCTGTCGAGCAGCACCGCCATCGGGTTGGCCTGCACAGCTGCTGCCACCGCCTGGAAGTCCTCGCCAGCCTCCGGTGCTAGCGAGACCGTCGGCTCCACCACGCCGACCATCGAGCACGACGCCTCCCCGTCGCCTCGGCTCTTGCCGCTGGAGCTGTCGACGTCCTTCGTCGAGGACGTTTTCTTCGACGCTTGCTTCTCCTTGCGCGGCTTCTCAACTCGACGGGGGCGACGACTGGCCGATCGACCGTGGCCTTCCTTGTTGTCGTCCTCGTCGCTCTCATCGCGGTCGGGGCACTCGAAGGAGAGATGGTCGGGGTCGCCGCAGACCCAGCACTCCCGCCGTCGACCACCACCTCGTCGACCCTTGTCCCGCGTCGACCTCTTCTCGTCGACGTCCTTCGTCGACCGCCCACCTCCGCTACCACTTCCGCCTGGCTTCCCGCGCTGCTCCTGCTGATAATTCGGCTTCGTCGGTGCAGCGTAACTGGCCTGCGGAAGGAACTCCGTGGGCTGCTCTGCCTCCTGCATCGCCTCATCCTGGAGAATGTAGCTGGTGATGGAGTCTTCGTCGAGGGACTCACGCGTGCCAGGCACCATCATCATCCTCTTCATGAGATTGTAGCTGCGCGGCAAGCCCTTGACGATGTGGGTGATGTAGGACGCCGTCGAGTATTCGGCGCCCGCCATTCGCATCTCAGCCAGGATCCGTCGAGCACGGTTGCAGTAATCCGTCGCCGACTCCTGCTCGCCCATCCGAATGTGAGTCATCTTCTCCTCCAACTGCCCGATGTACAGGTCGTCCCTGACCTGGTACGTCGATATGATGAAGCGCCATGCCTGGTGACCAGCATCCAGTCGCTCTCGACAGCTCATGAGCGCCACCTGCACCACCGGCGAGCAGCACCTCGAGATGACCATGAAGGTGAGCAGGTGAGCAGAACGAAACTCCTCGCGCAGCCCAACATCCTCCTCGAGCGGAATTGGCACAGTGCCGTCGGCGAAGCCCTTCAGCCCGGCGACCTTCAGCTGAGGTTCGATCGACTCCCTCTAGGTGATGAGGTCCCGTCGACCTTGCAGCGGAGCGACGGTGATCCGATCCGGCGAAAACTTGAAGTAGCCATACGCCGGTGCAATCCCGCCCGCAGTCACATGCGTCGTCGCCGAGAGCCCGCCACCACTTCGTAGAGGAGAGCGACGTCGAACATCGACGTCGGCGTGCGAGCTGCCTGCAGCCGCCGTCGACCGCTGCACTCGCGCCTGGATTCCGTCGACACCACCGTCGACCTTGATCACTCCTCTATGCCTCGTGCCTTCGCTGCCGCTGACTCGTGCACCACCGTCGACCTCGTCGTCGACGCCACCTTCGTTGCGCACCGGTCGAGGAGAAGCAGGACGGGAAGGGTGTTCCGTCGCCCACTGCGACCGGATGCCCAACTCGGCGATCACTAAGGGGATCGTCCCGTACTCGCCATTCGCGTGGCGTCTCCTCGCGTCAGCCAAACGTGCCTCCAAAGTGTCCGCTACACCCGCATCAACTACGGGGTCGACCATGGCGACTATCGCTGCTGCCGGCCTACGAACGACTTAGTAGGTGCAAAAGTCGGCTCCTATCTGAAGGTCGCGTGTTCGTTCCACGCTCACCGCACCATGTGGAGATTAACTCTACAACGGTAGTGAGCTAGACTACAGGGGTTGGCACGAACTACTAGAGGTGATCTTAGCTTTGCTTAGTTCCTTAGTGTTTGCACATTCACGGAAGAATTTGGCAAGAGTTTTCATTAGCAAAGTTGGAATTCCAGAATAATAAAGAAGCAATGACAACAATGACTACATCAGGCACCTAGCAACCCTGCAGCCAGCCTGGTCGACCGCCAGCGTAGCTCGGTCGACCGCCTGCCAGCATTGCGTAGAGGAGCCGCGCCAGCACTGCAGAAGGGCGACCTGCCAACAAAGCAGGTCGACGGCGTGCCCCGTAGAACACAGCAGTGCGCGCGCTCGCAGGTGTGCGCAGACGATTGGTCCGACTTGCCTCGTTGGGCATCCGTCGGCTGTTGTCTGCGCCTGACGAGCCACATGGACTTCGGGATACCAGCCCGAAGTCGCCTGCGCCATCGCGATCTCGACGACGTTCGCGTGCCTCCGCAGAACTCGTCGAGCAGGTTATCCGGTCGACCTGGTCGACCCCTGGTGCTCTGGTCGACTCCCACGTGCCTCCCGTCGACCACTGGGTCTCTCTGGTCGACCACACCTCCTGTCAAGCTACCCCTTGGTCGACGGACCCCCTTCCGTCGACCGGAACTGTTCCGTTGTCCTCCCGGTCGAGCTGCAGTTCGACGGGACGCTCCGTTGACCTCCCCATCGAACTGTAGGTCGACGGATTGCTTCGTGGACCTCCCGGACGGTTCACCCGTCGCCCAGGCCAGTCAGGTGCAGCTGTCGAGCATCCTGGTCAACAGCAACACCACAGTGGTCTGCTGCAGCTCAACGTAACCTGTCGAGCAGCTATCCCACTGTGAGCAGTCGGCTGCTACTCCCGTACATCCGACCAAGTTGTCGGCGTTGCCCAAGCGAGTGCGGGGCCAACACTCCATTCCCGTTAACATCAAGCACGTCCACGCACTGTCCGGTCATTACTCCTAGCATGCCCACATTTTCGCATTACGATCGCCAGTTGCACACCAATCTCTTCGCACTCATGACCCACTGGATTCACCTGACCTAGACGGACAACGGGACACCAGTATCGCGGTTACGTTGTGTGCCGCGCTCGAATGTCCGCGAGCACAACGGTCGCGATGTAAATGGGTCTAAGTCACACCCGGGTGTACATGTAGTGACTGCGCATCATGTTGACGCATGCGCTGAATAGGAGTAGGGGCAATCTCGCACGCTGCATGCATACCGTGAATCGCGTCGCGGCATCAATACTTCACGACTCCATCAATGCTCCGGGAAACACAACCGCGCAGCAAATCCATAATGCCGAACCGCCTACCGCTCCCGTGCATGGGGTGAACGCGCTCAACCCCACATGGAGCACCTCATACGTGCAACTTGTGGTTTTTGGGTCGCGGATTCCCGCGTTCCACCCACAGCAACTGGTGAACGGGCTCCACCTAGCACCGCGGCCACAAATACCGTTTTCGGCAGCGACGGTCGCGTTTCAAAATCAACAGGATGATGTTACCGCGCAAGGAGTATCCACGCCTCATCCCGGACCTCATGTTGTTGGACAACACATCGCGTCCCCGTCCGTGCCCACTAGCTAGCTCTTCGGGATGCCTGTGCGTGGCTTCGTAGGGCCGCAGTACGCGAACGTGGGATTCAGGTACGGGTACATCAGCGTTCAACCAGACCCCATGGTGCACGCTCCCGCATCTGTCGCGACGCCTCCTGTCGCGCCGTCAACACCATTCCCCAGCGCGATCCATCCGGAAAGCCAGCCAACGGTGCAAGCCCCGCCAGACCCTAGCGAAGCATTGGTTGTCGGTTTGGACACACGGGCGTGAACAGACGGCCCATCATCGAACGCGCTTGCCGGTGGTTTAGGGCGTGCGTTGAATGGTGGAGCGGGGATGAATGCAAGCGCGTGTACACATTCGCTGCCAATATGGAACGTGAACTCACTATTGCCCGGAAACCCCGACGTCCACATCCGCACCCCCGCGCATCCGTCTGTAGCGGACGCGACTGGTGTAGGTGGGCAACTACAGGCGAACGCGAGGAACGCGGGCCGTGGAGCGGGTGCAAGAGGAAACGCGGGAAGGGGAAGAGGGACTGGTGGGAGAGGGAACGCGGGAAGAGGGACTGGTGCGAGAGGGAATGCGGGAAGAGGGACAGGGGAGAGAGGGAACGTGGCTAGAGGGAGAGGTGCGAGAGGAAGGGGTGAGAGAGCGAGTGCGGGACGTGGGACAGGTGTGGGATCGAACGGGGATAGTGCGAATGGGCAGGGAGCGCATGGGGTGACAGGTAACGGCGGCAGGGGTAACGGTGTTAACGCGAACGGCGGTACCGGTAACGGGCCAGTTAATAGACCGCGTATAAGGAGGCGGCGAGTCGATGTCGTGCCGCACACGGCACGCAACGGCTCCCGGGAGGGGAGCGAGGGGGCAAGCGATGAGGATGACGAGGACGACGTTGACGATGCGGACGATAGTTGGAATGACGATGACGAAAACTACCTATCGAACTCGCTGTCCGAGCTCAACGAGGAGGAGGCGGAAGACAACGAACGGGTGCGGGGTACGCGGAGGGACATTGAGGTCCCTATCGCGGATTGGAACAGGCTTGGTGTGGACGACACGCCGGCCACGAAACGAGAGATGTGCTACGGAATCCTATACGGTGTCTCTGAGGCCACGCTAAAGAAGTATTGCGGTTGGGCCAATAAGTACAAGCGGTTCATGGCTCACGAGCTGCCTAAACTGGATGCGGGTAGGTTTGGTGAGGAGGCCACGTTGAGAAACGCGAACCCCGACGAGATAGGGGTCGCGCTCGAACAGAACATGGGTGGTGACTGGAAGATGGCGGAGGGCGACGAGCAGTGGTTCCACGACCCTGAGACGGATCCGTGGCGCTTACGCAAATACGTGACCTTCCTCGCGAACGAGACAGTCGCACAGGCGGACAGGATGGCCACACTCAAGCGGCCAGAAAAGACATTGAAGAAGAGACGCCAGTGCACCCCGGCAATGCTGATGGGGCGTCTCAAGGCTTTGAACCTGCTCATCAAGCTTGATGGGGCCATCTTCAAGAAGCCCGTTCTGAACCTGCTGCGCGACTTTGCAGAGTGTCGCATCTAGGTCCGCGTTCAAGTACGCGACCAGTACAAGCGGTTTATCGCGTAAGTATACGTACTCAGTGAACGCGTTTAATGCCCAACAATACTGCGTCCACTAACACCCGCACTATCGTCCAAATCGATGCGCAGGGAACACATGGATCGCCATTGGGGCACGGCCGCGGACACGAAGACCCCGGACGAGTTCAAGCATATGATGCGGAAGACCAGCATGGATGCGATCTTGACCAGCTTCACACTAGCCAAGAAAGCATACACGCAGGCAATGCATCGCGACCTCTGCATCCGGACGATGACCGTGATCGGTCATCACACTCTGGCCCGCGGGTGCACGATCAGAAACCTGCAGCTTCCAGATATGATGATGTGGAAGCTCGGCGCAAAATCCGAGACCGGTCCAGTGAGGAACGCGCTCATGTTTGTCTGCGCGTGCAGGACGGGCAAGACAAACAAGGACTTTTCCCTCAACTACATATCTGCTGTGAGGCACATAGATTGGACGCTGTGCGCGGTCGGAGCCACGCTGCTGTGGCTGCACTGGGTCTTCGACTTGGTTCCCATCCTCTAGGAGGACATAGCCCCCCCTCTTGACTTCACGGAACCCTCGACGTGGTACGATCAATGCCTGTTCTTCCCCCTTCGCGCGGGCAACGAGAAGCAAATACCGCCCACGACTCATCACGACTGGGCGGCGAAGATTCTCCAGGACGCAGGAATCACATGCTCGCGTGCAGTACACGCGACTAGGGCTGGGGGGGGGCGCAGCACGCGTCCGCGGACGGAATGCCTTCGGATCAGCTGGCGAGGCTGGGGGGTTGGCGCTTCATCGACGTGATGACTAAGCACTACCTCACAACCATTCCGAGGGAGGCCGTGCTGCTGAAGGCGGGCTTCACCGGGGTTGACGGTGACTACTTCCTGGGTCGCGCAACTGTTCCGGTCAACGAGCTGGATGAGCTACTGAGGAAGCACATTTTCCCCCGGGCCGCCGCGGACAAAGGACAGCAACAGGTATGTGTGGGCCGCGCATACGCGGCCGCGAGCATCCCACATAACCCTCTGGCACCACGTTCACTACCGCGTTGTTTCCTTGTCACAGTGCAAAAAGTACAGCCGCAAGATGGTAAAAAAGCAGACGCGGGAGAAGCAGGACACCGCGGGGCTTAACATACTGAAGGAGCTGGACGGGGAGGCTAGGATGGCGGTCGCGCAAGACCTGGCCATGTACTACATTCACCAGCCGCGACACCCGTACGTGGTCAACAACCCGCTCTGCAAGACGGAGGAATTTGCGTCGTGGGCTGCAAATGTCTCCTTGGCAAATCAGCTCGCCATAGTTCAGCGCAACGCGCCTACACTGACCCAGCCCGCGGTAAGTACTGCATGGTCGCGTTATCTTTCCGGATGTGATGTCAATGCCAAACCATAACAAGTTCGCGGTCCCTTTCTGTCCATGCAGGAGGTGAGTACCAGAATGGACGCGCAGAACTAAGTGACTGTCCTCACTGAGTACCTGACTCGTTCACAAGCGGACAACACCAGACTGGGCCTAGAGTTGGTCGCGACTCATAAACAGGTGAAAGAGCTGGAGGGGCTGCTGGAGGATCGCGATCGGAAGCTGGCCAACAAGGACGAGCGCATGAATGATTTGGAGGCCCAGCTGTCGCGTCTCACCGTGAGCAGCTCTAGGCCGACCGCAGATCCGAGTTTGGCAGATACTCCTTGTGCCGCGGCCGAGCCTGCAAAGGCCACAACTCCCACCGACCAGGGAACGAGGAAGAAACCCGCACAGCCCACTGTCAGAACATATCTATAGCTTATACTATTGTGTAGGCTGTAGTGGGGTATCCCATAGGGGGTACAACCCAGTTAGGGTTTCATATTTGTACTGCCTTCATTCATAGTTCATTCATTCCTGTTTTCCTTGCTTCACATGGTATAGAGCGGGTCCTGCCTTAGGACCGGTTTTTTTTTTAGGGCCCACCGAAGCGCGCCCCGAGGCGCGCCTTTTTTTTAGCGACCCCTCGGGTCGCCTTTTCCCTCGCGGCCCCGCTGTCCCTCAGACGCGGCCCCGCCACCTCGCCTGCTTGACGCGGCCCCGCCGCCTCCCCTGACGCGGCCCCGCCGCCTCCCCTGACGCGGCCCCGCCGCCTCCCCTGACGCGGCCCCGCCGCCTCCCCTGACGCGGCCCCGCCTCTACTGCCGCGGCCCCGCCGCCGCCTCTGACGCGGCCCTGCCGGCCCGCCGCTACACCCTACGGCCCGCCGCTGCACCCTACGGCCCTCCGTCTCACCTGACGGCCCCGCCGCTGCTCCTGCCGGCCCGCCGCTGCTCCTGCCGGCCCGCCGCTGCACCTGCCGGCCCGCCGCTGCACCCAGCGGCCCGCCGCTTCACCTGACGGCCCCGCCGCTGCACCTGCCGGCCCGCCGCTGCACCCTACGGCCCGCCGCTGCACCCTACGGCCCGCCGCCTCACCTGGTCGGCCCGCCACTGCACCCTACGGCCCCGCCGCTGCACCTGCCGGCCCGCCGCTGCACCTGCCGGCCCGCCGCTGCACCTGCCGGCCCGCCGCTGCACCTTCCGGCCCGCCGTTGCACCTGCCGGCCCGCCGCTGCACCTGCCGGTCCGCCGCTGCACCTGCCGGCCCGCCACTGCACCGGTCGACCCGCCGCTGCACCTGACGGCCCCGCCCCTGCATCTCCCGGCCGAGCCGCCCCAGCAGCCGAACCGCCCAGGAGCCGAGCCGCCCAACGCCGAGCCGCCCGGGACCCGAGCCGCCCTGCCGCCGAGCCGCCCGGGAGCCGAGCCGCCCTGCCGCCGAGCCGCCCGGGAGCCGAGCCGCCCTGCACCGAGCCGCCCGGGAGCCGAGCCGCTGTGCACCCGAGCCGCCCGGTCGCTGAGCCGCCTTTCTGCAGAGCTGCACGACCTGCCCTGCCTGGTGAGCACAGTCCCACTGACACTGCGAGCTCTTTCCCTACTGCTTGCACTGCGTCGCTGTCGTCACCATGGCTACCCCTAGTGTCCTAGCTTTTGACGCTGAGGGTCGCGCCATTGATTTTGAGGTCTGGTTAGACGACCTGCAGCTGTTCTTACAGTGCGACAGGGCTGACGACCTTTCTCTCTTTGACCTCACCTCTGGCGCCTCTCCTGCTCCTGCTGCTGATGCTGATCCCTCTGTCCGCTCTCAGTGGGCCACCCGCGATGCTGCTGCACGTCTTGCTGTGCGTCGCCACCTCCCTACCTCTGAGCGTGCGCACTTTAGCCAGTACAAGAGTGCTCAGACCTTGTACGACGCTGTAGTTGCGCGCTACTCCTCCCCTGCCACTGCTGCACTGAGCCGTCTCATGCTTCCCTACCTCTTTCCTGACCTCTCTGCCTTTCCCACTGTTGCTGACCTCATTACGCACCTCCGCACTAGTGACACTCGCTACCGCGCCCGCCCTTCCTGCTGAGTTCTGCGCTAAGAACCCCCCCCCCCATGTACATCGCTCTCTACTACATAGTCGCCCGCCTCCCTGACTCCCTTCGCGTCGTCAGGGACCACTTTCTCGCTGTCTGTCCCACCACCCTCACCGTCGACCTCCTCGAGAAGGCCCTCCTCGCAGCGGAGAAGAGCATAGTCGCTGTAGGTGCTTCTCGTGGTGACCCTCGCACCCCCGTCTTTGAGGGGTGCTCTCCTTCCCCCTTGCTGCCCTCTGTTGCCTCTGCTGCTGCTGCCGACCTGCTTGGTCTTGAGTCGGTCGGCGCGGCGTCTACCCCTAGTGGGAGACGTCGCTCTAGCAAGGGCAAGGGGGGCAAGGGCGCGGGTGGAGCTGGAGGGGGCGGTGGCGGTGGCGGCGGTGGCGGCGGAGGGAGTGGGGGTGGTGGCGGGACTAGTGGCGGGGGTGGTGGTGGTGGTGGTGGCGGCAGCGGCGGAGATGGTGGTGGTGGTGCCAGCGGTGGTGGTGGAGGCAGCGGCGGAGGTGGAGGCGGCGGAGGTGGAGGCGGTGGAGGCGGCAGCGGAGGAGGCGGTGGTGGTGGAGGAGGTGGAGCTGGTCGAGGTGGTACCCAGCAGCGTAGCGGCGGTGGTGGTGGCCAGCGCTCGCAGCGGCAGCAGCAGCAGCGCTCGCGGGACATCCCTCCGCCTCAGCAGCTTCGTGAGTGGTACGCTGGGCGTCAGAGGGGTGGGGGTACTGGTCCCTGCACCTACGTTCTTCGTTCAGGCGACCGCGCGGGTGAGCAGTGTGGGGGTGCCCACGCCACCCAGCGCTGCTTTGGCCGCCTGACGGACGCTTGGCGTCGGCAGTTCCCTGGGGCTAGTGAGATCCCTCGCTGGGAGGAGCTTCTTAGGGCTGGTGTAGCGATCTTTGATCTTGATTTTGATGCTATCCTTGCTGCTATGTATGCTGTGGATTATAGTGAGGAGAATGAGGGTTACCGGTGTTTCCAGCCCGACCCGGGCATTGGTACTGCTGCGCTAGGTGCTTGTGAGGCTGCTGCTCTAGGTGCCAGTGCGTCTGCGCTCTCAGGTACTGGTGAGACTGCGCTCTCAGGTACTGCGTCGTCCTCGTCCTCCCTCACTTTCACACTTGACTCCGGGGCTTCTCGCTCCTTCTTTCGAGACCGCACTACCCTTACGCCGCTCGGCCGGCCGGTTGCGGTCTCCCTTGCTGACCCCTCTGGGGGTCCTGTCCTGTCTCACTTCTCCACTGTCCTCCCGTGTCCGGCTGCTCCTTCGGGCACCCTGTCGGGTCTGTACCTTCCCTCGTTCTCTACGAACTTGGTGAGTGGAGCGGACCTGCAGGATGTGGGGGTTCACCAGTTCACTCCTGCGAGTCAGCGGGTGACCCACTGCACGGAGGCACGCACAGGCCGACACCTGGCCACGTTCTCGCGTCGGCCGGGGTCGAGTCTCTACACCCTGACCGTTGAGTCTCCTCCTGTCCCTGCGTCTGGTCAGGTGGCTGCGTCGGGTCAGGTGCTTGCTGCTGCGTCCCGGTCAGGTCCTGAGTCTGCTCCCTG